CCCTAGCCCTTGCTAGCTGTGCTGGCAGGCTGCTCGACGAGTGCTCGACTTGTTTACCGAGTGCTCGTCTCGCACTCGTCGCCTCTAAAGTGTCTGCTCAACAGCAGACAAACTGACACTTCAGCCAGGCGACGGCCCAGGTAATGGGGCGGGCAGGGACGGACGGAGCAGCCCAGGCAGCTGTTGACCAATTCACGTAACAGGAAGAGCGTGAGGGGAGTGCATGGGATTGTGGCGCACTGGATAATTTCAATTACAATGATTGCAACGTTCACTAGCAACTTACCTGAAGCGGACTGAGCGATTCAGGGGACGGCTCCTCGAGGCGCGGCCAAATCTGATGCAGCGACATAATGGCCTCGTTGCAGAAACGCAGACCCATTACCTCCTCGTCCTCGCGACCGTAGCTGCAATGATAACAGGCCGTGCAATTATTTATGTGTTATGTGCTATGCCTGGAGCGCCCAGAGCTGTCAGTCGACTGAAGAGCTACAATTTCAATTTCAAACTATGTCCGGGCGCGTCGCGCGGGCTGCGGGCTGCGGATTGCGCGGTGCGTAGAGCAGGATTTGTGGCTTACCGAAATGTTAGCGTTAGCTGCGCATAGACGCGATATCCTTGAATGGCCTTCGGATCCACATAGACTATTCCACGCAGCACAGACGGATTATTGCCGGTCAACACTATCTCACGCGTCGGCAAATAGAGAGTTAGCACACAATTCGGCGAAGTCTTCTTATAAACGCGCTGAGTGCCAAACTCATCCCGGTGGGTGGTTCTGGAAGAGGCGATTCGGTGTTGAAAGTGCGGCATTAGTAAATCAGTCAACAAAACATTTTCAATTGACGATACTCAAGAGATTTATTGATGAAAAGCTATGTGTATCGCTTTCATATCTGCCCAGGTAATACCTTGGCGATAGCCTGGCAGCCCAGCAGAAGCTCGTTTTCAGACTTCACTTAAGTTTCTGTCTGAAATGTTGAACTTGGCAAAAGCCAGACAAAACCAAAAGCAGCAAATTAATGGAATGGCTTATGTTTTATTGAAATTGGTTTCCAGCTTCGAATTATGTTTTTGTCACAGATATTCCTTTCCAGACGAAATGCTTTGTTTTCCCCCCAAACAACACTTTTTATACCCAAATTCATATCAGAGTATGTACAGAGTATATAACTTTTTTAATAACTCCCCCAAAATTGGAATACCCAAATACTTTGAGTTATTCCCTTGGGCTTTTGTATTTACATGCATTTCAATGTCGTACTTATGCTCTGAAAATGCCATTAAAATCGGAATATAAACGAGTTAATCAGGAATGCATTACGAATATTATGGAATTATGCAAAGAAGAAGCATAGCTTCTATATGTATCTCATTGTTTGGGTCCCAAATGAAACTAGAATGTTTCTAATGTCAGCTGAATTCAGTGGGTTTCCTGAGGTGATTGGTGACATCTCCGGGCACTTCCTGGAGCACTTTTATGTACTTGTTTTTGACTGTCAAGCATAAAAAATAGTGTTGCAAAATCGCCGAAGATGCGGAATGCTGACAGCATTCACTTGCACTGAATTGAAGCGTGGCACAGTCTGGCAACTCTGGCGGTGCGTGGGTTTGGCTACTTGTCAAAACACGCTTAATTAACTGCGCATTCAGCGTGAGGCATGTGGCATTCTAATTAATATTACCTATACATGCTCCACACTTGAGCATGTGCATGTATGTGCATGCAATGCCTGTCCGTGTGCATGAGTGTGGGTGTGAGTGTCTGTCCCTGTATATGTATGTGTGCGTGAGCTGTGTGCACTTGAAGTAGTTTGAGCTTAGTTCCGTCTAAAAATAGTTCTACTGAAGCAGCTAGTGCACATTTGCGTGCTAGCAGCATTTTGTAGTAGCTTCATTGATTTGTGCCCCCCCTTCAAAAGTCGCTGGCAAATAGCTTAATATTTAAATGGAAATTTCTAAGTGGTGTACTTAGTTGTTGACGTTGCGGCAGTCAAAAGTTCTGGTTAACAATTTGTTGACCATGTTGTTGGTGCTTGCGCTGGGGATTCGGTGTTGCGACCAACTGCCGGCTACACCTGACGGCTGGGCAATTAGCAGGCTGACAGCTGAGCTGCAGTTGCAATCAGCACTAAAGTCACAACATGTGGCAAGTGGCATGTGGCATGTGGCGTATGGCATGTGGCATGTGCGCCGAGCTCCAATTAAAATACATTTGCCGCTTGAAACTGCTGTCAGTAAGACAGACAGCCAAACAGACAGCCAGAATTGAATTGTATTACAGCGCAGTGGTCTCAGCATTTTAATGAGCTGCATTAGCAACTGTTATGAAAACGCTTGGCTGCCCCCAAGCGCTAACTTTGTGCAACACCCACATGCAAAACGTTGTCACAAAGCGTTATCAGAAAATGCTTAAAAAAAAAAATAAGCAAGTAAATGGTTGAATTCACTTTTGATACCATGGCAAAAATAAAAATGGAAATATAAAGCGAATACAGGCGACAGACATTTTGCATATGCAATAATTAAATCTTAAAGCTAAAGACTTGTAGTTATTCATTTATGATGATTGTTTCATTGTTTACTTAAACAATAAAAGCTAGCTTTGGGGCGAGTCGCTGGCTCAAATCGTAAGCCGAACTATTGCAAATTGTTCTTGCATTATCAATTTAAGCTCCAACATTACAAATCAAAAGATTATTCGAACAAAAAGTTATGAATATGTGAAGACAGGTTGACAAATCAGCCTTTAGTCAGATTCGCTGGTTCGAGCTGCAAGTCTTGTTATCTAGTAAGCATTCAAATTTGTAAAGCTCGCATGCACTTAATGTGCTTCAACTTTATGTGTGCTCAACTAACAATTCAAATCGCGAATATTTAATGGTTGGGTTCGATGAAATAGGAAAAACTTTCTAATGCCGATCAGATTGCACTTAAAATACTCATTCAATATGTTTATAAAGTATATGTACACACATCTAAATATGTACACTAGGTGCAGTGGGAAATGGTCTTTCGTCGAGTTTCGTACTTTTTAACTAAAAAGTTGGCGAACAAAAGTTCCGCTCAAAATTTAGCGAGCACTTAAAAGCAGCTTTGCTGCTTTATGAATATTAATTGTACTTTTACGAGAATGGACCGCACATTTTGGCCATGTTGCCAAAAATTTGTGTTCTATAATTAACTGCATTTGTTTGTGCAATTTTTGCCAGCTGTCACCAGTTCGCCCATGTGCTAATTATGCTAATTTAATGCAATTCTTGTGGCCGCTATTGATGTGCTTGTAATTTGTCATGCATTGCGTATACGCAACGTGGCCGCAACTAAATCAACTTAACTTTTTAGGCCGTCGCCGGCAATCCACAAATATTACACACATACAGCAAATATGAAACAATAACAATTGATCATGTTTCTATTTGCATTTGAATGGGCCTGTTCCGTTGCCAAATGCAACATCATTTCCGCTCTGCCAGATACCCTGTAAACTTCCTAAATATTTTATTTGACTTCTGGCGCATTTCACGAATTCATTTGATTAAGTCGGAATTTAAATTTCAGTTTATTTCAATTTTTTTGTACTTCCATTAAACAAGTTTTGTTGTACATTGTGCGCATTGAGGAAATTAAAAACCGCAGCTGGAGGTCAAAAAAATAATTCAGGACTCGAACTGGCGCCCTGCAGCTGGATTCGGTTCAGCTGGTTTTACACAGCCACGAGCCGAGGCTTTGTTGCGAATTTCAGCATAATAATGAGCGGGTATTGTTGTCATTTATTCATTTGTAATTAATCATAATGCAATTCAGACCATAAAATTTGCGCTAATTTTTACTGAATTTTGCTGTTTATGCTTATTTTCAGGCAACATCAATTGCTGCTGTACACAATATTTTTTTTATATTTTTGCGTATTCGTTTTCCGTTCACGTTATGTGAGATGACTACAAAGTAAATTTTGTTTTTTTTTTTTGTATTTTGCTTATTTTGGGCTTAATTAAAATTCATAACAACGTCCAATAGTGTAATTGGAGGCGTTCTCTTAGCTTTTATTCCTATTGTTATGGCTTGCTTTTTTGTTGATGTTTGTTTGGTTGTTGTTGTTGTTGTTGTTATTGTTGATGCTCACACGTGTAAATGTGGTTGGCTCAGTTACAGTTTTTGGAGCCAAGAATTCATTAGGAAAAAACGCTATCAGCTTCTAGTCAATATGTTGATGCGTCAGCCCTTTGTCAAGCATTTGCTGACATACTTGGCATATTCAATTATGCCCCGCATAGATGTGCAAACCGGGCATGTTCGCTTGTTCGCATATTCGACAGCTGTTGCATATAGAGGCACACGCAAAGTTCGCCTTGGCAAAGTACGCGACACAATGAGCATCGATATTGGCAACAGTTTGCCAAACAATTTTAATTGAAATTCTATGCAAACGCAACGTGCACAGGTTGCATTCAATTTAAGTGTTGAATATTCATTGAGGCATATTAATTAGTGGCATCAATATTTCAAGTCATTCAAATATTAAAATTCTCCTTTTTTAGGAGAACACGTTTTTTTTAGCTTGCAACTGATTTTTGCCATTTTCTGTGGCAAATACAGCATTCGCCATATTTTACCTTGACTTCAAAGCTTCAATTGCAATATGCAATGCTTTCATTAAGTGCATTTTCGATATGCATTCACGCATTGCATTTGCCAATTAATTTTTGTAAACAAATAAAACTTTAAGCAATTGCCTAAAATAATCAAGCATGTATATTGTGCTCGATTTGATCTGTTGCTGTGCATTTTACTTGCTTTTTAAATCTCTGAATGTCTGTCAATTGAATTTAGTTCTGCTCACATAAGCTTAAGCCTATGATACATTCGAATCAATATAAATATTTATTCAATCACAATTTGGTTCAAGCTTGAGAGCATTTGCCAGAGTTATTTGTGCAGCGAAAATGCTTTGAATGGAGCTGTGCAAAGGCTTAAGCCATTTATTTATATATTTTTCAAGCTAACAGCTGGAAGTAGAAACGTAGGCTATGCCTTTTCCAACACAGCTTGTTAGGTACACCTATTTAGAATCCCTGTGCCAAAATCGGGGACTTGTGTGCGTTCACAGATTTCAGCCAACACAGCAATTTTCATTTGTGATCAAAACTCTAAAAGGAGACATCATGACGTCCATTCCAAGCCAAGCCATCATATTGTTAATCTTGCAAGGCATGGAACTGTTTTCGGCAAAGGCACTGAAGCTCTTTCTACAGCTGCTGCCTCTTTCGGCTCTAACAGCGCTCGTGTTTTTCAGGTAAGCTAAATGTTTATATCTATAAATAAAGAGAGACATATATAGAGAGCTGAACTGACTGCTTATTTGAAATGGGCAGATATTTCCCGCCGCCATGTCGCCAGAGGAAGCTGCTAACAACATGGCTGCGACTAGCTATGACCCTGTGCATCTGTTCGATATTGACCATGATGAGCCGTCTGCTGCCCTGGTGCTAAACACCGACTAACAAGCAGGCACACGCCAGACATTAATGTACAGCACAAACAGCCAACCACAACGTCCATAATCTCATGAAAGCTCTAAGGCAACAAGTACATTTTAAGGATAATTGAGGAAAACAAGAAAAGACACCCTCACAAAACTGGTTTGAAGTTAGAATAAAACAACAAACAAAAGCCTTAAATAGTATGTTCTTAAAATCTTGTTAGCTTGGCCCAATTACCCATAATAATTGCTGTAGATAACACAGCTGCAATGGCTTAAAGGCATTTACAATATCAATTATACTTATTCGTACACTGGCTTCAGATGTACTTATATAGCTATGCAGATTCATTAACAATCGCACACTTTAGCTGCCAAAAAAAAAGAGCTCCAATCACTTTTCAACTATTTTTAAAGCACTTTGCAGCCGCTTCACGCATAATCCACCAAATGTAAGAAGGCAAGAGGTAGTGTTTATATAAATACATATACATATATATATTTATATATGTATATAATATGCTTGCTTTTATGATTGCAGCCTCCGACGTGTACCTGAACCGGTAACTGATGCCTCTCAAGAGATGCTTTGTTCAGCTTTCGACGCGTCTGCCTGGCTGCGTTAACAGGCAGAGTAAAAGCCAAAAACTAACCACGGATCATTTACATTTTTTTACTATCACAGTTAATGGCGAGCCAAACACCGCAGCAACCAACCACCCAACCGACCACCCAACCAACCACTCAACCACTCAACCAAGCAGCGCTGAGCAGCGTCTGGCTTGTCTATAAATTTGTAACTTGGCGCTTTTGTTTGCTTTGCCACAACATCCAACTCAGCTGCCTGCCCCTGCCGAGCGCTGGCTTTTTGGAGTTAAGTGTAAATTTATTTTGCGGCCAGGTGGTCAGCTTGTGGACAGGAGGCGCGAGCGCCAAGGGATGCGTTGCCTAATTGATATAAATTAAATACAAAACGATTATTTAAATTATCTGCTGCTGCTGCTGCTGCTGATGTTCGCTGAGGCGTTGGCCACTCGCGGCCAACGTGGCGTATACGTAATTTGGCCATCTAATGGGCGTGTACGAGTGGGCAGGTGGCTTGCTTAAGTGCAGACAAAATCTGCGCAATTTGGCAATGAACCCAAATCAAAATCAATTTGAAATTGTTTGGAATTCCATCAAGCCGAGTTATTTATTTTTTTTTTTTTGGGAATACCCCTAATTCAATTTGCATACACTGTTTGCTTTATTCCGAATAGAAATGTTGTTTGTAAAATATTCACAGTAAATCATTATTGTGAACTGTTACAAGAGCGCTTCGATGCAATTGGCAAGTCAGCAAGCATCTGCCTGGCTTGGGCTGTCGGAATTTGGAATGTGGTGCGCCTGCTCGAAACGATTTTGCGAGTGCTTGCAAATTGTGGTAAAACAAGAGATACAAGAGCCAGCAGCCCAGCAGCCCGGTTGCGAGTCGAACAGATTTTCAAGCGGCATTCCAAAATTGCATTTGACCTGAATCGAGCCTGCTGCAACTAAGCCAAAGCCAAACCACATTTGGCCAAGAATTATGATATGATTATTGCCAGAAAATTTAATTTGCAATCAATTGCATTTTTCTATTGATAATTGTAAACTAAAATCAACTTAAATCAATTCAAAGGTGTAGTCAAATTGAACCTAAACGAAAAAGCGAGCCATTCGATTCGAGCTCTACTAAGTTCTATGTAGGCTGGTTTGCTCTTTAAGCCGATTTGGCATTTAAGCCTACACACACATATTTAATTTGCTGCACCTGCAAACTGTTGGCCATTGAGCTAAGCTGCTTCAATGTGGCATCAGAGCACGGGATAATAAGTTCAATATATTTTAATTCCAAAGTCTAGCCGAGTTTGACGTTCCACAGCACATTGAACGCGCCTGCTGCATTCCGAACCGTGTTAAAAGGGGTGCATAAAGAGCTTTTCCGTCATGCTTAAATAAGTACTTAGGGCAACCGGCCAAAGGTAAAAATGTGTTCCTTATTAAGCCCACGCCAATGTATTTATTTTAATAACCGGCGGAAGAAGATAATAAAACATATTACAAAGCCCCCAAACAAACAGAAACCAGCTTCGATGCAGGCGTAGGAGATTTAATGGTTTATAGACTGTGCAACCCGATTCAAGTTTCACATTTTAGCATTTAGCAACCATTGCTCTGCCGGCTCTAACCTTCGAGCGGCTCAGTCAGCCGCGTAATTGCAAAGTAATTAACGCTCGTATCAGAGCAGCGGCTGTGGCCGTGGCCGTGGCCGTGGCAGTGGCAGTGGCAGTGACAGTGGCTATGAATCAAGGATAATGCGGCAAAATCAAAGCGGGAATCGTAATGAGCAAAAGCAAAAGCAAAAGCAAAGCAAATCAAATGAACGAACGATGACAGTCGATAGCTGCGGCAGCTAAGCGAGAATGTCACGATGTCAAGGACGTACTTTCTCGCAGAGGATATTCGATTTATCAAGCGCGAAACGTTGCGACCGCTGCGACTGCTCAGCAGGTGGTTGTGTGGAGCAAAACAAAGGCTATCTGAGCCATGCCGATGATCAAATACTCTACTCTAACAAGTGTTAAGTGCTAAACAGTGTTAGAGTACAACGAATTTATAAATGTCTTTTCTCAAGATAGCTTGAAGCAAACAAGCACAAGTTTGCACCATTTCTTGCTTTGGAAAAATAAATGGATTTATTAAGTGAGTTCGAGATATCTTCAAAAACAATACATAAGACAGCTACATTTCATATCTGTTCGACTGATTTATAACTAATTTCTACGAGTATCGACTAGTAACACTCGAAAAGAGAAAACTGAAATGTCCACTTAAAGCGACACAAAACGAAACGAAACGAAGAAGTCACGTTGCATGTGAAAGCAACCTGGTGGCAGTTGTCGATGGCTGCCTCCATGGCATTAATTGCATTGCCGTGGCCGTTGTGGCTGCTGACTTGCAGCTGGTCCTGGCTGTGGATGCCGCTAAGCTCTGCTCAATGCAAAGTCTAATTGATTTATCACGTATACGCTAGCGCAGCCGAGCGTAAACGCAGCCAGACCCGCCCAACCAACCAAACAACCAACCACCCAGCCCAGCCAGGATGCTTGCAATTAGCGGAAGTTAAGACTAGCACAGTGCTTTATGCTAAAAATAACTATATATAGCTTAATGTGATGTCCTGCATTGTCTCATTAGTTGACACCAAATTAGATTTCTAATGGACTTTCGACAGCAATGGGCCATGCCTGTGGCTTATGTCCGACTTGGTCACTTGATTTACGCATCAGCAACGCAATCGCGACCTTGGTTTCTTTTTTTTTTTAAGACAACTTGTTGGCTTCAATAAATATTGATATTTAATTCAAGTTATTTGAAATCCCATCTATGGTCATATTTCGTCCAACTCGACTGTAGCTTGATTTGACAAGGGTCCTTGTGTTTATATTCCAAATGCAAACTAATTTCGAAAACAACAAGTGTTGGCAATGTCCAAGTGCAAACAAATTACGAAGAAAACAAGTGTTGACAAGTGCATTTACCAACACTAGCTTTTGCAAGTCTACAGTTAGTCAGGAGTCTGGGTTGCAGAAAAGTAGATTAGAGTGTGCAAATAAATGAATTTCAAATACTATATATTAAGCAAGTTGGGTGGGCTAACTGCACTTGTGAATATATATATATTATTTTGGAATCCATTAGCGGCTGATAAACCCTCCCTATCTGGCAACGCCAGCAGCACCGCAGCAAGTGCGGTTAAGCCTGAAAAGCACACTTCAGCCTAAACCAAGTGGCAGCAATACCGCGCCGACTGCAACTGCTGCAGTCGGCAGTCAGCAGTTGGCAGTTTGCAGTTGGCTCATTATAATTATGCCCTGCAGCTGGCTGCGCAGCACTTGCCATAATTACTTTATTTTTTTATTTTATTTTTTTTTTTTGCGACCACGCTTAAGCCACAAACGAGGGCAGGAATATGCGTGGTGGGCTGCCCGTTTTGTATTCCAATCTGTGGACGCGCTTCGCTGATCTTGTGTCTATTGTTGCGTCCACGTCTTGTAAACTCATCCCTCTGCTCGGTGGTTGTTCGTGTTTCGAGTACTATCAATCTAAAGTGTCCCGTTTAAGGTAGCTCCAGCTGCTCAAGGAGCTGCACTTAAGTTCCCGTCGCACACATTGTTCTGCTTATGAAGTGTGCAACAAGTTGCACGCTAATTAGCCGTATTTTAGCGTTACGCCGTCTCTGGTCTGTTTCTTGTCGCTGTCTTCATTTTAAGCCGACTGCCTCTTCGCATTTCATACGGATAAATGTTGCTATCTACTTTGTGGTATCGCATCACTTGTCATCAAGGGAATCTGCCCTCGACAGAGCACGCTGAAAAAGCCCTTATTTAAGACTCTAATGGGAAAGAAGGATAAAAGCTGAGCAGAGCTTTAGTTTTTGATAAAATCTTAAATGGAAGTAACCTGAGCAGAGTTTTAGCCTTAGATATCTTGATAGTTATCGATAGCTTTTCTATCGTTAGCTACACTTGGAAATGTTCTTTCATTTATCTTTGTTTTCTGTAACCCACGACTCATCGAGCCTTATATCTAAGAGAATTCGCGTAGGTATAGGACTGTTGAACTTTTGCCCCAAAATCAGCTGTTATCGATAACAGCCACATAAGTTATCGGTAACTCTTATATAGCTGAGCTTAAAGGTATTAAGTAAAAACACATTTGTTGGGCTACACACAAATGTTTATCACACGGACCTAAGAACAAATACTGTGCCATGATAGCTCTAGGCAACAGTAGATATTATTAATAATTCCGATAAATCGATAAACATTTTTAGACACAATATTTGTTGTTAGGGTTTAGTCTATGTAGTCTACAGTCATATGCTATCAAGCAGACTTCAAAGTAGACTCCTGGAATCACGAACGCAATTATTCAGTTAGCTTAATGGATTATAACAAGGATTCAATTAGATATTTTCATAGTTATAGTTAGCTAAACTCTGCTGACTGAATTGCAAATTGAAAGCGAATCCAATGAAATGCGTTTAAGCAAATATAATTAATATACATAAGGCGATTGACTATTGTGTTGCATAAATATAATACATTAACTGGTTAAATGTGAATGCAAATGCATATAATTGAATACTTTGATAATTGGCTTCAAGTGGCCACAACTCTCTATCTATGTGTGCATGTGCGTGTATGCTTATTTATCAAGAATTTATCCATATTAAAGACAACAAGTCGAACACTGAACGTTGAGTTAGCAGGCGCTATGCGAAGCCTGCTTAATGATGCATTAAGTACTCGCATCAAGTATACGCCCTGTGGCACTCACACTTTGCCCAACAGAGCGTGCCTGTGTGTGTTTTTGAGTGGGCGTGTTTGCGTGTGTGTGTGTGTGTGTGTGAGCATAGCTCTAATGAATGACTACTACCTGTGTCCATTCGCCAGCTCCATTTCGGCCAGCACCTGGCCCGTGCCCATATGCAGCAACAGCTCCTCACTCTGAAAACTGGCCGACCGATAGAGACTCTCGCTGTCAGCAGCAGCGGCAGCAGCAGCATCGGCATTCACCTGGATGGTTGACTGGCTCTGCAGCGATAATGTTGATTGTTGTGCTGGCGATTGTTGTTGTTGCTGTTGCTGTTGATGTTGCTGTTGATGTTGTTGTTGTTGTTGTTGTTGGGTCTGTGTTGCTGCGAGAATTTTACAGCTGAGGGGCAATCGGTCCATAAAATGCGTGAGGCGGCGTAATCTGCAATTGTTGTTGCCATTGCTGTTGCTGCATATCACATTGTTGTATGTTTTGTCCAGTGGTCATAAAAATATCATCATCAATAGCAGCAGCAGCAGCGGCAGGCGGGTTTGGAGGTGAGTTGTAAACGGGCACACAAATTACACACAATTTTGTTTGTATTCGTCTGCGTGTGCTTGAGTTTAGAACAACTAAAATTGCTTTC